TTTAGTACTGGAACGGCCGTTCTCGGCGACCATGATGGTTTCAGGTCCTGGATTCTTATCACACGGCGTTCACTTGCGGACCCGACACAATTCCGTACTTGCAACAGCCGAAACGGCAATCCCATGTATTATCATGTAAAGCCAGCGTTCACTTGGGATTTGCCCACCAACTGCTACCGCGGGAAATTTGATATGACTAGCGTTTGCATGGGGATTCACAAGTTGTTGTTTTGACTTACGAAACAGCATGCTCATTTCTTGAGCGTTTACATGGGGCGCAAAAATTGATGTGACTTTTTGGGGTTGTTAACGGGCAGCGTTCCTTGGGGATTCGCTTCAGATCAAAAGTTGATGTGACTTCAACGTTCATGTGTACCTGGCAGGGGTTATGTTTGCGGCAAGTTCTGAGGTTTGGTGGTTTGGCCTTGTCCTTCTCACACGGGGCCCACTCCTTTCAATGCCAGCTGTTGCAGCACCGAACATGCCGGCCGTCCAGTTCGTGTGTTTGCTGGGCATCCTGAGCTTTGGCAGCAGCGAACAGCGAACACATGAGCTCCATGAGCTCAATCGCAGCCATGAAGTTACGTACCTAAAGCAGCTGAGGCTCCTATCTCTACAGCTTCAGGTTTGGTATCAGCCGTGGAAGGCCCCGATTTTGAATCTCGTGGACGGCGTCACCAATATCTTGCTGGTGATGCTCCTGGCGGTTGGATTGGGACGTTTGGACGCCGGAACTGATGCTGGGGGCACCGAAGTCGTTTTGAACGGCCTTGCAGCGATCATCTCCGCGATGATGATGCCTGCCTACAAGCCTTCAATTCATTCCACACTTTCAACTCTTATTTGCTTCCATTAGAGCGTAATGAAGTATAGCACTTTGCTGCAGGATGTGCGTGCTGGCACTCATGCTCTTCCTAGCTGTCACTGCTTTGTTCTACAAGAAGGCATTGGGCAGCGCTCAGGAGTTGTGGATCATGAGCCTGGGCCAGAAAAGTCTGTAGTCTCTGGATATGAAACATGGTTTTGTTTCAAGTAGCAGGTGTTCCTACCCGTCTTTCACCCAGGAATTTGGGGAAGTTGCCATCCTCAGAAGAAGTGTGCGAGAACCTGACGTTCCTCTTGCAAAACCGGAAAGGGATGGAGGAATCTGCTGCTGGAGTGCCACATTGTGCTTTCTGTGAACACTTAAACCTTGGAATTCCCCAAACGTTAGGGCTGCAAAAGTCTGCAAGAGTCGTTTTGAAGATGGAACTGAGAACGCTGCAAGCTCTTCGGTGATGTGACAGGAGAAAGACGTGCGGCAAGTGTTGCAAGAACTATGCGTGTATGACTACTATGATGTGAATGCCTCCATTGTTCTCCTCAGCACCGAGCTGGGCTTGCATAGCAAGCTGACGAGTTCGCTGGCAAGGCCGAAGCAGTATCAACAGCTGTGCTCCAGGTCGTCCCAGTTGCTCAAGCATGTTTAAGCAAGATAGTTTTCTCACTCTCGCCAGTTATCAAGAAGCACGAAGAGGATTGTTCTGCATCACTTGGGCATAAGTAGATAAAGTGGATCCTCTCATTGCAGCTTCTTTGTGCTTGTCATATCTTGTCCCGGGAGGCGTCGCATTACCTCTGCAGGACCTGCACTTCGAGTTGGTGAAAACCAGATAGCATAGCACAAAATCATGGTGTGCCTTGTTTCGGCTTTTTGTTGGCCTGCATTAAGGGTGGTGAGGTGTTGCAACAGCTTCATTTCCTTCTGTGTTTTGTTTTTGTCCCAGAGATGTACACCTGCAGGATCTTCCGCATCGTTCTGTGCGCCAAGCAAGCTTCCAGACATCAACGCCAAAGCACAAAAGGAGCATCAAGAAGAAGCCCTGACCCCAGCTGTGATGGATTGTCCACATGTCATTTCTCTCACAATTCCAACAGGCCTATGGACTAAAGCGAAACACTGTTTGAGTCCAAGTCTCCAAAGCATACAAGGAAGTCAAAAGCACGGAGTCACAGAAAGGGCTAGACCCAGCAAGCCGCAAAGCATCACTATTTGGCTTTGTTGTTCTTGGCAGCATGGTGAGGCTTTGGAGAGCAACTTCACAACAGATGCCACCGAAGCCGCTGAACCGAAGGCTGAGAATCCTCAGGGGGAGGAGACTCGGGCCATTTGGATGTGATTTTTCAAGTCAAACGTGAGCCGAGTCTGGTGTTTTTAGAGGATGCACAGCTTCTGGAATCCACCTCTGCGGTTAGAAGCTCAAGCTGAAGGCTTGTTTGTATGCATCCGCCACCAGCTCGTTGCATCAGTCCGTCGGAAAAGCCTAAGGCTTTCTCGGGGTGCCTGGTGTTCCATGTTAATGTCAACTTTGATGTCAACCCTTGGCCAAGTTAATGGTCCCTATCAAACCAGGCAAGACTGCTAAGAGCCATGGTAACAGTTGGCAAGAGCATTACAAGCACAAGGGTTGACAATTCGGTTTGCTTCGCGCAATTTTCACGAGAGGCCAGCTCAAGTCTTTAGAGAGAGCCTTCTCGCTGTTCTGGCTCGACTGCCAAAAGCTTTGGGTAGTGCTTACCCGACCTGGCAGCGTTATTTTGATCCCGTGCTGTTGGCTGGGAAATTCATGACATGAGGGAATTGCAATGTCCTGCAGTGGACCTGTTTGATTGGACGCAAGGCTGAGGCGAAAAGCTCGGCTCTTTGCGAACTGAGAAGACGCATTCTGAAGAGATACTACTCAAATCACAATGGCAATTCATTGCAACTCATTGAAAAATGGAGGCCAGGGATGTATGTTGCCTTTTTTTGTATTTTTGTGTGTTTCCTGCAGTTATGTTTTTTTCCGCTTTGTGCTTCTTGCTTTCTGCCTGTTGCTTCTTGCTTCTTGCTTTCTCTTTCTTGCTTCTTATTTTTTGCTGTCAGCTTGTTGCTGCTTGTTTCTTGCTACCTGCGATCCCTTGATTGCTAATTGCTTTCTGATGTTAGCTTCCTGTTTCTTTTTGATTGCGCTCAGCTTCTCGATCGCTGCTTCTTTTCTAGCCAGTGCTTTGAGTCTGCACTTCTGGACGTCTGCAGAAATCGTCATGACTTGCATCGAGCAAAGTTTCTAGACGGCAGCGAGCCGGGCGAGCCGTTGACCAGTGACTTATTGATCTCCGAGCTTGATGACGGCATGGAGTTTGCTCTTGTTCAACCGTAGATGTCACATGAGATTGGCAAGGACTAGCTTTCAGAAAAAGATGCAGCGCGTCCAGTTTCAAGATCTTGTTTGCACTGGCGTCAACTATTGGTGTTCTTGCATGTTGCATATGGTATTCACAATCTGATTCATTGCTGTTGTTGAGCTCAGTCACGTTTTTTTTTCATTCTTTGACTCTTCCAGGCTTCGTCCCTTTGTGTTGGATTCATGGTGTATCCAGCATTGTTGTTGCAACGAGCGTTGTACGTTTCAAACGCGGGGGGAGGGGTGAATTTCAGGACGGAATTCCGGGACAAAGCTTCGGGTTTCAGCAGAGGTGACTTTCAGAAGCATGTAGAGAGAATTTCTGACGCAGACATTTATGCATTTCAGAAGTGCAGGAACTGGGATTTAGGGTTTATGATTTAGGATTTTGGGATTGGGACTTTCCGGGATTCAGGCTTTTAGGGATGTTGATAGCTTCCCGGCCCCACCTTTGGCCCCTGCCGTCGCGCCACTTTTGGCTTTCGAGCATACGAAGTCCTGCGGTATGGTCGCCTGTGCCGGGAGCAGAGGAGGATTGGCTGGTGTTGACATTCCTCTCTCTCCCAAGAAATCAAAAATTCCCATGACTTTACCTTTGGTCTCACTTATACGCGTGCACCTCCTTGCATCCTGGGATGAGCGGTCCATCACTGCCGGACTGCCATCCAATGGCGGCAAGGTAGTTCGCAAAGTCATCCAACTTGGGGCTCTTACGGCAACCGTTATTGTCAACTCTCGATTGTATTTAGACTCATCTGCTGCCAGCCCTGCATAGCTCTTATTAAGGCTTTTGACCTTCGGGAGGACACAGCGTGTGCGCCCCCAAGTAGCGATGTTTGGGACGCCCTCAGAAAGCTCGTGAGCCTTCATCTTGCTGTTAGCAGTCTTCACCCCAGTAGTGGCAGGTCTATAATGGGCCACCCCTATTTTGGGAAACTACCATATTCAGACTTTGCTGGGTTGCAAGAATTCAGCTTCTGTGCCGGGCAGCTTATTCGGGGCCCTTCTTTTTGTTTGGCTGCTGCTGCTTTAATTCTGGTCAGCTATTTCAGCTGCTACCATTTGGCCTGCGGCTACCGACAAACCCTGAGCTGTGCCATGGAAAGTACGCAGTTTGGGAGTGTGACATTCAGCGCAAGGATGCCGTCATCCATTTCTCATCTGAAGACTTTTCAGCTCAAAGGTTAGAGCGGTTGCTCGTAGATGGACTTGCCATTGCTGGGAGCTGCCTTGATTGTGGGCATTTCTTGGGGAGGTCATATCTGGGGACACAAGCCAGAGTCAATTGCTCCTGTGGCTCCGTGCATCTGTCATTGTGAGTGCGCAGCTACAAGGGCTGAATCCTCTACAGTCAAGCTGTGGTTCCTGCTAGTGATTAGCCTCGCATTGACATTGCAATGATTTCCGAGGGCGACATCTGCTTCGTTAATTACGGGGAAGTGCCTCCTTGCATACATGCTCGACTTGTAGGAGCTAGGGTGCATAATGACGTCTTCGTCATCATTACACCTGATTATGATGTGTACGAAGAACAACTTTCTGACCTCAACCCCGACTACATCGCCTTCCACCATGGAGGTCCTGGCTTAGGAGCAGCTATCCCAGCTGGCTTGAACCCCGCCCATGTGTACTCATTTGGAGCGATGTCAGCTGTGGATTACCAACGCCTCATGAATCAGGCCAGGCTTTATGCAGCAGGACTTCGTGCTGGATTAGGTTTGGCGCCAGTGGCTCCACCAGCTCAGCAGCAGCTGCTGGCGCTGCCGTGGCGGCCCCTGCGGATCCTCTAGTCTGGGTTTCAATGGAAAGGCGAGGTGGCATCAGGGTTGGTTCTGTGGTGGTTCCTCAGGGTCAAGGTTTACCTGCGGGAGCTGTTCACATAGGCGATCGTGCTATCATGGACACGGGGGGTGGCAACCACATTGCTATCAAGCAGGTAGCTCTCTCTCTGGTCGGCTCCATGGAGGCTCGCGACTTGAGGGTCCTTCCTATAAGGTTTGATGCGCAAGGACAGCGCAGGGCTGAGTTTGCCGACATGGTCAGCCAAATGACGCAGGACGACATGCCGGGTGGCAAGCTTCAGCTAGATGGTCCTCCTTCCGCTCTGGAAGTAGTGCGCTCAATGGTTCTTAGGGGGCTGACCCCAGTTACAGACCATGAACACTGGATCCGCACGCATGACATTGCCAAGGGGGACAGATCAGTATACGAAATGGAAGTCATCACCCGGGTTTTGGAAGCCTTTGTGACAGTCGATCAAATCAACATTGCTAACTTGAAGGGTTGCGAGTTGTTGGTTCGCAGGTGGCAGTTGATTCGGGAGGCTCACCGAATTTCGCCTACTTCGCCTGAGTACAGTGCTGCTGATGTCATCATGGGCTGGGCTTACCGCAAGGGTGAAGGAGTCGAGCCTGGTCTGGCCAAGTATGTGGCCGGAGAGCTTCGCGACCAGGCTTCCATTGCAAAGGAAGCGAGGAAGGCCAGGGAAGAGCTGCCTCTGATATGCTTTGACACTTCGTGCCCAGTCATGTATGGAGACGACGGACTTTCAAGCAGAAGCTCACGAATGGCCTCACGCTGAAACACTTTATCCTGGGAACGTGGCAGGTGAGCAACTTTACAAAGAAGATGGGATTGTGAACGAGCCTGGTTAGGAGTAGGTGCCCCAGCGAATGGTTCGGAAAATCCAGCCATGGAGTTCAAGGCATGTATGACCTCATTCGCCTTTGCAAGGTTGTCCTTACGACGGGCTCTGTGTTTCCTGACGCAGGCAGACTCCTTAAAAAACTCCTTACCCCCCACATTCTCAATCTCAGGCTTAAGGAGCGGGAGCGGGAGAAGGTCACGCCATCGAGCATGATTGGAGCAAGTAGTCATCGTACACAATCAGCACAATATTGGTCGCCAGGAACTGGCTTAAAACCCCCGCCTTATGGAAAACAAGGAGGATCACCGCAAAGTGGGAAACGGCGACCCCCTCGGCAACGATTACTTTCCGCCGCCGCCTCCCCCCTGATTGGGGTTTTGGCGGCCACTTTTGCGTCGACTCTCGACCTTGTTTCTCTTCCTGAAGCCGGGGCTGAACCTCGTGATGCCACGGAGCTTTTGGACGATCAGGGTCGAGAAGTCTTGGATAGATTTGAAAGCACGATGTTTGTGGGCGAAGACAGCATGCACAAGAAAGTTTCCCCCTACATGGACGAAACCCTCAAATCCTCACCGCAGGCCTATGCCAGCTTCATTGCCGACATCGCGGAGAGGGGCATGATTGATTTTTCCAGGACAGCTACTTCAATCATCACGCCTTTCTTTGTCACCAAAAAGAGTGGTAAACTTCGATTGGTTTTAGATTGTCGTGCGAGCAACCTGATGTTTGCCCCTCCTCCTGATATTGCTTTAGCTGCAGGGTATACATTTGGCCAGCTTGAAATTCCTGATGGTGAACGCCTTGACATTGCTCAAAGTGATGTTCGTGACTACTTTTCCTCCATTGGCTTGCCTCCAGGACTTCGGCGATACTTCGTGCTGCCTCCGGTGGACGTTGCGCTGTTGCCTGCCGGCACTTTGAATTGTTCAGAGCTGGACGGTGGCATTGTATATCCTAGAATGCGAGTAGTGCCGATGGGGTGGAGCTGGGCAATGTGGATCGCTCAACGCATCCATCAGCATCAAGCGGCTTTGGCCATTAACTGCAGTCCTGAACAGGTGTTGGTCGACGGGCGGCCACCTCCGTCTCTTGAGGCGGGCACTCCTGTTCTTATACCATATGCCGACAACCTCAACGTTTGTGGCACAGACATGGCGGCAGTGCAGGATACAAAGGATAGAGTGGTGAAGCGATTGAGGGAGGTTGGTTTCAGGGTGCATGAAGCGGAAGACGCTGCTCTGCATGCCCAGGCGCTTGGCTTCATCCTTGATGGTGAGCGTGGGCAGGTACACCCAATACCGGCTAGGCGTGATCGGGTTCGTCTTGGTTTGCTCTGGTTAGCTAATAGGCCAAAGGTCACTGGGAAAGCAATTGAAAGGATCATTGGACATTGCGTGCACTTGTTCATGCTTCGCCGTGAATTGCTCTCTATTTTCAGATCGGTCTATGATTTCAAGATTGCAAACTATGGCAAACCATGCAAGCTGTGGAAATCCGCGGCTGATGAGTGTAGGATTGCTGCAGCGCTCATCCTAACTTGCTACGCTGATCTTCGTAGACCTTGGTCCAGCAACATCACAGTCAGTGACGCATGCCTTTCGGGCACTGCAGTGGCTTCTCTTGATGCTGATAGAGGGGTGGCCCAGGCCATAGGAGCTTGCCGTGAGATGTGGAGATTCAAAGCAAAAGATCCGTTGAGTCGGGCCCGCGATGCTGCGTTGAAGCTTGATCCCTTTGTGCATCATGAAACAGTTATGTCCATGTCAAGTGATGAGAAAGATCCTTTCCAACTCAACCTTGAGTTTCAGCATGTGCCGGTTGAAGTTGCGTGCAGTCCCAATTGGAAAGTTCAGTTTTCGGCCAAGATGACGAAGCATGAGCACATCACACTGTTAGAAGGTCGTGGCACAGTTCAGGCTATTCGTCACAAAATGCGTGCCGAAAACAACTTTGGCAAGAAGCATTTGCATCTTGGTGACAATTTGGGAATGGTTTTAGCCTTTGACAGGGGTAGGGCTAAGTCAGTTCCACTCCTGTTATGCTGTCGCCGGGCGGCGGCCTTTGCCATTGCTGGCGACTCGTCTCTCACTCATCGATGGCTGCCTTCCGAACATAATGCCGCGGATGCCGCATCGAGGAAGTGGGAGCCGGAAACACAAGAGCAGCCCTTCAGCAAAACCAAAGCCAAGGAAGTCATCTCAGCCATCTGCTACCCCAAAAGCAAAAGCAAAAGCTGCCTCAGCCAAACGACGTGCAGCCAGCTCATTGGGGGGAGTGTTGGCCGAGCTGAAGAATGCAGTCCCGCCAAGGTCCTTAGCTGGGACTCCCACAAAGCTGGCGCTCAGAAAAGCAGTGCAAGCCCCAGACGAGTCATCACGTGCTGCAAAGAGACAGGCCGTGGTGGCGATGGGGAAGCCTCGGAAGCGAGCACTGGACCACACTTTCCTGGAGACTGCGGCTATAGCACCAAGAACAAGCGAAGAGTACCTTCACAAGTGGAACCTCTTCGAGTCCTTTTGCCGAACTCAGAAGTTGAGGCTTCGAAGTGCGAACGAGGTGGACTTCGCCTTGACGATCTTTCTAAACCAAGCTTTCTTGGAAGGATGGGACGTCAGCGAGGGAGTCAAGACGATTGCCGCAGACACCGACAGAAGGCCTTCGATGTCTGGCAAACAGGGCCTGCCAAGGGCCAGAAGGGCGTTGCAAGGTTGGAGAAACCTCGATCCGGGGGTGACTCGACCTCCCTTGGCATGGCCCCTCATCGCCCTGATTGCTCTCACCATCCTGGAGAATCACAAGCTGGTCGAATGCATGGTGATCCTCTTCATGTTCGCGACATATGTGAGGCCGGGGGAGGTCTTTCAGCTGAGAAGACAAGACCTGGTGAAGAGCGAGTCTCTGGGTCAAAGATGGTCCATCAACCTTCACCCCTCCGACGATCTCCAGGAATCCAAGGTGGAAGTCAGCAACGAAACGCTGCTTTTGGACACCCAGGAGATTCCGTGGCTGGGACAAGTTCTCGAGTGCATCACAGCAATCTCGCAGGGGCCTCTTTTTCCAACAAGTTACACCGAAGTGCAGCAGGCTTGGGTGCAGGCGCTTCGTCAACTGGGGCTTGGGGAGAAGTTCGCAGTCCTGTACCAGCTGCGTCACTCAGGAGCAAGCTGGGATCGGTTCAAAGAGTACCGGAGCCTCCTGGAAGTAAAGCATCGAGGAAGATGGGCTTCAGACAACAGCCTGAAACGTTACGTGCAGCGTGCGATGGTGGCCCAGCAATTCGAGAAACTCAGTGCTCCTCTCAAGCGCAAGGCGCAAGCCGCGCCACAAGTTCTGGGCAGCATGGTCCTCGCAAGGTGCGGCCTCAAATCAGCAAAGTAGAGCAGCCATTCCTGGAGATCTTCTCTGGATGTGCAAGACTGTCTGAGGCCTGTGCACACGTCGGCATCCCGTGCGAAGCTTGGGACATTATGTACGGTCACCAATGTGATCTACTCTGCCGTTCAAATGCAACAAGGCTCCTTGCGCGGATTCGCGCCCGTGAATTCTCAGCAGTGCATTTGGGGATGCCCTGCATTTCATGGAGCCGTGCCAGACGGGATGACAATCGTGGTCCTGGGCCTCTCCGGGACGACGGCAAGTTCTTGTTTGGACTTCCTGATGTGGCCTTCTCAGACAAGAGAAAACTCCTTGAGGGCAACCGACTGCTCCAGTTCTCGCTTGATGTCATTGCCGCTTGCCAGGAGCTTCAAATTCCATGGACTCTAGAAAATCCCGAAACCAGCCGTGTGTGGCTTGTTCCAGCGATACAACAATTGCTCAGTAAAGGTGCCAGGAAAGTTGCTGCTTCATTCTGTGTGTATGGAACACCGTGGCGAAAGGCTACAACCTTTCTCACGGGCAACTTCCCTGGCTTGCAGTTTCTAACCTGCAGTGGCAGCTTCCAGCGATGCTCTCGCACTCACAAACCGCATTTGCCTTTGGTCGGCCAAGATGTTCAAGGCAGATGGCTCACCAGAATTGCTCAGCCATACCCTGCGAAACTGTGCGAGCACTATGCGCTTCAGCTGCTGCTTTTTCTTAAGCATACTCCGGGGTCGGATATGGGATGACACAGTGATTGTATATGCCCTCGTGATCCTGCTCTCCTTTGATCAGGCTTTTGGGGGCATCTTTAGGATCCTGTATGTGTTTGCTGCAAGCATCGCCTGATGACTCAAGCTTTCACCCTATGTAGATACGCGTGTCCTCAGGCTCACTTCGCAGACTCCTCAGCCGATGCTCGGCGTCAAAAATGCTGGCATCTTCAGAGAGCGCGGGACCCAGTCACATTGCTATGGGTTGCGTAGTGTTGTATGTTTATCGAGAACCGTGGATTGTTGGCAAATGATGGTGTGCTTGGGTTGGGCCCTCAGGCTCCTCGAGAATCCGGGCATCTTTGATCACGATGTAGCCGTCCTGGGCCAGACGCTGCAACCAAGGTCGCAACTCTCCCACCTTCGGGGATGACTGGGGTGCACAAGAGCACCTGCAGAAGCGGAGGCACTGGCCATGATCACCGGAACGGCTGGTACGAGAAATGGGCACTTGGAAGTGCAGAGCTGGCTTGGACAGGCTTTGAGACAAACACACAGATAGCGTCACTCAGGAGCTGACTGACCTGCAGCTGAGAGTGCTTGCTGATGCAGATTCACACGGCGGGCCTTCACATGCTCGCGAGCCTGTTTCTTCACCTTCGGCACTGTCGCTTCCTCGTGCAAGATTGCCGATTCAGGGTGCTGGTGTCAGGTGCTAAACTGAGGCCAGCGCAGCGCGTTCTCGTACTGGCCGATGTCTAGTGCTGCTCTTAGGAGGTCCGCTGGCTCTGTTTTGTCTTTGGTAAGCACATCGCACAACATGAGTTCTGTAGGGCACCAAGGCGATCCACGCTTTGCTTAATGATGGCTATATCAACACAGACCGTCACAGACCCTCTTATCCTGGACCCCTGAGAGAAACGACACAGTAGTTACGTGATCGTAGACGCTCTTACAATCGGTGATACCTATGATCGGAGTGCTCCTCAGTTGGGACTGACAAGTTCTGAGGTCCCGCCAGTGGAACGGGCAGGAGCAGCTTTGTTCTCTCAGATTGTGATTTGCGAAGGCCAGCAGATATCCGGCTTGGGCCCTGTCCTCCTTGGCATTGCTCCAGGCGGCGTCATTGCGCATGCAAATGCCCAACTGGCTGAAATCAATTGCCCTTATCTTGATTTTTACGTCTTTGTATTGACGCGCCCAATGCATTAGCGTATAGGATGTCCTTGACTAAGGGCTTAGGGAAGGACTGCTGGGACATGGAAACCTGGACCGCGATATCAGGTCTTGTTTGATTTGCCAGCCAGTTAGCTGCGCCATTCAGGCCACGGCGTGCTGAGATCTCCCTTGCTGACGCCAGTTGCTCCTTCTGAGCAACGCGCGCCTTGAGATTCCGAAGGTACATTACCCCACAAGAATTACTAGAGAGCCTATTCTCCACCTACGATCCGGGAAGTGTGCCAGAAGCTTGCGGATGGCTTCTTCACAAGCGCTACCTTCCCCTCCAGTTATGGAGTCGTCAACGTCTCTGGCTTCAGCGTCAAAGGTTTCCCACCACCAAAATGGGGCGTCATTTAAGCCGCAGACGTTACCAGTTACTTCTATGACGTCATTGGGTCTAGCTCTGGCACTCCTCCCGACGGCCGGTGAGGGCAGAGTGGGCGAAATTGAGGCTTGAGTGGTCCAGCTTCTAAGAACGCTCCGCTGATATCTCCCAGGCGCACGCGCCAGCGCTTACTGACAAGGATTTGCAAGAGTAATGCGCGTGAAAGGTGAGACATGGTGGGAGAATGACAGGCCCCGATAGAATCTTGGCCTTGAAATCTGGGTCAAGGTGTCCTTGCAAACGCCAGCGCGCTTTGACCCTGGACCCCTCGTCATCCTCCTTGCCGGCGATTACGAACCTGCTTCCAATGATGCGGTCCGCGTGTTGGTGGAGAATTTTGTCTGCCTCTGCGCCACTCCAGGCACGAACTGCCGGTGCAGAAAGCATCGTGCACCATTCAGCACCCTTAGCCTCCTCGATTTCTTCTTGAGGATCAGGGGGATTGTTAACCACCGGAAGCTCCTTCTGGAATTTCTTCTGCGTCAGCAAAGAGGACCTCCAAGGCAGTAGCTTGAGGATGGCTATCCCTGAAGCTCTCCATTGCTCTCTGAGCTCATCCGGGGCCGAGCTCGCAGCACGCTTGAAAGCTGCCTCCCTTGAGCTATTCACATCTCCCTCGGGCAGCGTTTCCGGATCTGAGCCTTGCAGGATCTTTGGCAACACCTCGCCTAGCATTTCAAAAAGGTCTTCTGGTTGAAGGTAGATTCACCCGGTTTAGTTTTCCTAGTTGCTCTACTTCTTACTGGGGCATACTGTGGTGCTTCAGCGGTTGAAGGTGTGTCTGTGCCAGAACCACTGCTCAAATTAGCGCTGGCCGCTTCCAGGCTCAGCATTGGGGCGTCGCCTGGCTGGTCAACTAACTCTGCAGCTGTTTGATCTGCTGGCCTGTCGGCCGATCGCACGCGACCCGCTCCCAGCGGCAGTGTGGGGATACTTTCTTCGGGGTTGGTGGAAACTCTTGTTGCGTAATGTCTACGAGTTGGTTCCGAGGCAATTTCCCTTGGTCTAGGAGTTGCTGCATGCCCAAAAGTTCACGGCCCTCATCATCAAGGGTCTCTGTTGGTGGCCGCTCTTCAGCCGCCGGGCGCAGCTGCTCAGGTGCGCACCGCAAGATGGATCGTCTGTGTGCCACAGTCACACTGACCGGACTGAAAAGTCGCGACGCAAGCGCGGACGTGCGCGAAGGGTATATCACGCAGTGCGCGGCAGTCCTGACTGGCCACAAGGGTCTGGCGTGCTGCGAGGCCAATATGTTGCTGAGAACAGCGTCGTTTGTAATCAGGCCCGGGTGATCAACCAACAAATCTGAGATGGGGACACCCCGGAGACATTGAGCATACTATTCTTGGCCCAGGTTGTCTGAGTTACGCATTCTTGCCACTCCGCTTCAGTACTGCGGCGAACTTCTGCTAAAACGTGGGCAAGGACGGTGGCAAATGTGGCAAACAGACCGCCGTGACGTTCAACCTTACCAGTCTGCCGCCTTCATCCTCGCAAGGCTGACAGAGAGCCTCGCTAAGATGGGGCTGTGAAGGGTCTAGGATGAGTTCTTGAGGTGGCCCTCCAGCTCAACCAAAAACGTCGACACACTTGGCGGATCATGTCGCCAGTCTCTCTGCCAGGAAGAGGGATCATTTGCTGAAAGGAATTACCGTAATCTATGACGTTAAGGCACGGAACTTTTTCCCCAGCTTTCCAGCCAGGAAGGTACTTAACGTTTACACCTACCCTATCACTGAACCCCTGGGACTTGCCCTTAAGAGGCTCCATAACAACTTAGGACACCCTTCACAGTCTCCTGCGGGTTTTGAAGAATAGCGGCGATTCAGCAGAAGCACTGCAGCGTGCCAGCACGTTTCGCTGCCAGACTTGCGAAGCTGCCAAGAAGCCGGCAGATTCACTGCCAGCCGCGCCTGCCGGAGCGGAAGGGATCTAGCAGCTAGAATCTGGCGGCGACTCTGCAGACATAGGTTGGCCTGGATCATTCACACACTTGGCTCAGCGACGGTTTGGCTACCATCACCTCCGGCGAGGCACTCATACCCTTTAAGACTAACTGCTCCTTGGGGTTCTTCTACCAGGGTATAAGGCTTTTACAAATGATGGGGTATACCTACCGGCTATGGCGCTACGGGCTTCTCCGGTGGCACTGGTGCCTTCTACTGTCTGGTGATCGTGATCACCGCTGCACCTGCAACACTGGAGCCTCATGTCTGGGTCACTCAACAGCACCCCTGTGCTCTTACGCGTTGAAATCTGTGACCCCAGGTCTACCAAACCGTAAGCGCACATGTCAACCTCATTGACCCCAAACTTCCTAACTAGAGCCCTTACTGGCTCATATTTCCAAATGCTTGATCGCCACGGGTGCTCAAACAGAATGCGGCCCCCCGCGTTTAAGCTGCTTGCGGCACTCTGTTCTGCGGCATCGGCATACCTGGCTTGTGCTCGGGCCACGCGAATCATGCGAGCTCTCTCGAGAGGGCGCAACTTGGTGAATTGAGTCGATGCCATCCTCCCCTATGCTTACACGGGGGGGCAATCCACTAGGAGTTCAGGACAGGCCCTATCCAGCAGTCTATCTACTTCCCTCTGATCCCAAACCTGCGTTATATTGAAACTAGACCCCCTATACCCTAGTTGCTCCGCCTCCGTGCGGAAGCGCGGTGTAGAGAACAACTCTGCCACGATGATAGGGTTCTGCAAATCTTGCTGCGGTGGAGGGCTCTGGCGCTTCAACTAGGTTAGGGTTTTCCGGGCGTCCTTCTGCTTGAGCTTAGAGTCTTTAGGGCTCTTAGGGTTCACAGGGTCTTTACGGGTCTTCGGGTTCACAGGGTTGAGTTGGTCCTCTTGCTGAACAACCTCGAGGCATTCAGGGGACGTCGGGTTCTTAGGGCATTTATGGTTTGGGAACTGGCTTCCCGGAAGCCTGGGCGGCTAACACTTCCAAAGTCTTAGCTGAACACAGTTGCGGAGCCTCTCAGAATTGGGTCAGGTCAGGTCAATCCGTTGCCGAAGCGGAAACTGTTCTTCTGCTCCGTCTTGATCACTCGCCGGCCTTTCAGCAAAGGCTCCATT